GCGGGGGGGGGGGAAGGAGCCGCAGGGCCTCTTTGAAGCAGCTGCTGCTTCCGCTGCCCCTCTCCCCAGGGCTGCTCCCCAGCAGCCAGGGGTGGGAAACTTCTGAGAAGCCTTCTCTTAGCAACCACCATTAGTCCTGGAGTAACTGGAGTAATCGCACAGAGGGGGTGAATCCCACCCGGGGTGTGATGGGCACAAACCTTTCCCTCTGCCCCCCACCAGCCTGCTCCGAGCGGGGCCCCTTCCCTGCCCCTGCCCCCAGCACCCCCGGGGACTGAGGAAATAGCCTCTCCAGCCTGGCCGGGGGAGGGGAAGTTTGTTGTTTGGTTGGGGGGGAGGAGGGAGGAGAGGGGTTCTCCAGAGCCCTAGCCATGTGCACTGGCTCCTTTCCCCTGCCGAGTGCTCCAGTCCCACCCTGGGGGGAGCAGGTGTTTGTGCCTTCTGCTTCTAAGGCCCATGCAGGTTATTTAAACATCTGGTTACCCCGTGGCCTTGGGGATAGGGCGCTTGTCTAGGGAGGACAGGGTCGTGGGGTCAAGTCCCGCCTCCCATGGGATGGCATGGCCAAAAGCCGGATGTCCTGGGGCAGGAGGGATAAGGGGCGCCCTGACAGAAAGGTGGTGGGGGCGGGTTCCTGTGTGGCCTAGGGGATAGGGCACTTGTCTGGGGAGGACGGGGTCATAGGCCTGATCACTGTGTGAACTGGTATTTGTGGGGTTGGGCTCCAGCATGAGCCCCTTGCTGCCCAGCTGCCTGCCCCATGGCTTTCCCTGGCCCAGGGCAGGTGGCGGGAGCCCTGTCAGTGTCCCAGGTATTGGTTTATGGGCTCCGCTGAGAGAGGTCGGGGGGCTTCAGCCGCTTGCTGCAGAGGCTGCCAGCTCCAGACCGGGGCTCCCCTGCACAGAGAGAGAGAAGCTCATTCAGTAGCGAGGTGCTGAGTCCCTGCAGTGGGCTGGGTCTCACTCATGGGGAGGGGCAGAAATAGCCTCCCTGCAAAACTCCCCTCTGCCCCGGGTGGGGAGCAAGGGATGAGCCCCAGGTTCAACCCCCAGCCCGCACTGACCACCATGCCCAGCAGAGGGGACTGTCTGGGACTGGGAGCATGTCAGTTTCAGGGTAACTGCCCCACCCTGTCCCCCCTCCCTGGTCTGCTCCAGAAGCCCCTAGCCAGGTCTCTGGGTGGGGACCCTTGTCCCACTCCCTGTGGAGGAGAGGGGGCTACAGCTGCCTGAGCCATACACTGCGGTGTCCCCAGCAAGCTGCTCTGCCTCGATGCCCATCCCTGGGCTCGCCTCCTCCCCCAGGGCTGTGAGCCGGGTGCTGCCACCCGCTACAAGGCCCCCCCCAGCTTTTCCCAGCAAGCACCTGCATTCTCAAGGGAAAAGCGGGGCCGAGAAAATGCGATAACAGCAATGAAGACGCTTTGGTGCAGGCTGATGCTCGGGCAAGGTCTCTAGTCAGGTCCAAGTCTTCAAGGGCTGTCCTGGGAACACACCGGTCCGTCTGTCTGTCTGCTGAATCAGAAGGAAGGCCCCGAGTCTGAGTGCAGCCTTTTCATCTCCTAAGCCAGAGATAGGGGACAAGTTTTGGGTTGGGGCCGTTGACCTACAGAAAAATAAGTCAGGGGCCCCACACAACTGAAAACCAAAAAACCACCCCCAAACCCACCCTCGTTGATGTGACCCTCTGGGCGAGCTGGGGGCCGCATCCCCCACCGTTGTCTTAAGCCCTTTTCTTGTCCGTTGCTCTATGGAACCCAGTGTGACCCCGTCCGTGGTCTCTCGGCAAGTGCTTAGAACCTGAGTCAGTCACCTTAATGGCCCTCAACTGGTCGTGGTTCCTGGAGGAGCTTGGGGAATCCTGCCCCTCAAGTTGCATGCGATTCCTGGCCTGCAGCGATGCATGAAGTTAATATATTAGCACAGGGGTGGGGAACCTTTCTTGGTTCGGGGGCCGCTGACCCCCCAAAAGAATCAGTCGGAAGCCGCACACGAGTGAAAAGCAACAAAAGCAAAAAACCCCAAACCCTCACTGACATGGCCCCCAACCGAAAAGGAAAAGACACTCACCACATTCCCCCTCAAACGCCAGAGTCTGGGGGGTCCAGGCCAGTAGATGCAGTGTGCTCCAGACCTGTGCGGGGTAGGCTGGAGTCCCACCGGGGGCTCCCCAGTGCTGGGAGGGGAGCCCCAAGCCTTGAGGGCTGCAGCCAGGCAAGCTGAGGGCCACATCCAGCTGCCCAGGCCTCAGTTTCCCCATGCCTGTATTATAGTGCGGTCTGCAAAGCGGTTGCATGTGGTTGCAAAATCAGTTGCGGCACCAACCTGGAAAGCCCAGGCCGACCCTGTCCCTGCCTCCTCTCCTGCCCTCCCGTGCTGTGGCTGTCCGGGATGGGCCCTGGTCAGCTCTGTCTCCCAGGGCCCAGCCTTGGCCTCTCCCTGTCGGCCGGATCACGAGGCCCCGGGGACACCCAACTGCTGCATTTTTAGGACTAATAATCCTCAAACCAGGGAATGGTCTCTCCCCTGTCCGCCTGCTGCAGCTCCCCCCCGCCCGCCGCAGCTGCTCCCCACC